TTTGAAAATTGAAATAAGTTTATATATACGGAGTGGGAAATAATGGGTGTATGTCAAGAGGCGCGATCTTCAATGCCAGATGGACACCAAAAAGCACATAATAAGTGTTTTATAACATTCTAAAAGTATTGACATCTTACAAGGGAAGGATAGTTGGATGCCGCGGCCATTCCTAATGATTTGTATACCAAAAAATGCGCCTTCGAATGCAGATTCTGAATCTGTGCTCGAAATCTGCGAAACGATCTTTTGAAGAAAGTCATGAGCTTTTTTCCTTGAGAATTTAGCCTACTTTTGGATAGTAAAAATCACCCGATTTGATCTAGCCTATCGTTTGATGCTACTGAAGAAAATTTTAGACGTAGTAATATTTATTTAGACTATCTGGATCATACTCAGCATTTGGAAAGGAGAAAATTTTTTTCATTGATGATTTTGACCCTCCGCAGGAACGCAATTTTTTTAATGAAAAAAAAAATCATAACTCCATTATTATCGTTTCGCAGATATGAAAGACAGTCTACGAACCAGCATTCAAAAGCGCATTTTTTGGTATACAAATCATTATGAATGGCTACGGCATCCAAGTATCCTTCCCCTGTTAGAGGATGATATATTTAGGAGTGCATGGATTGCTCAATCTTGCTTTCTTGGATTCAATTCAAAAGAGCAATATTGAAAGTTAAAAACGCATGAAAATGCAGCTAAGAACAAATTCGTAAATATTTCGGTTCGTTTTCTAGCAAAATCCACCGAACTCGACGAGTGGTAACCTCATACAGATAGTAATCCAATGCACTTTATGTGATACTTTTTGAAGACTCGCAACTAAACTGGAGTTTTGGCTTGGTGAGAGCCGGAGAGATCGCGCCTCTTGACTGTCTCTCGAAAATAATGATGTCCCTTAAAATGAAGCTCAAAATTTTGCGTGATCCTGAGTTTCTTTTTGACAAACTAGTGAACCAGCAATCTAAAGGTGCTATTGGCAAGAGCGTTCGCTTCGAGACCGCGCCGCAGTTTCCCGCTATGTGCACATTTTTGAATTGCGCTTACGATTCTTTATATATTATAGAAATTGGCATGAATCTTAAGATAAGAATAAATTTCAGATTTAATAAACTGATCAAAATTCTGGAATTTCACCAGGCGGCGGTTTATTGTTCAAAGTGCATACCACGAAAATTTTCCAACTCTCTGATTTGTAAACTGTAAAAGCGCCGAAAACCCTTACCGAACCAAATCTCAACCATTTCTGTGATTTTCTCCCGCGTACCGTATACCTACCGTAGTCGCTCTGGACGACACCACTGTACATAGTAGATAGATTGTCCGATTTGGGCTCCGAATAACCTCAGCCAAGTTTCAGCTAATTATGTCACTTTGGAAATTGAAATAAGAAAAGTAAATAAAAATAAATAAAAATACAAATTGCGCGTAGTAATGGATACTCACCACAAGGTTTCCGCTGCGCTTCGAAGCTTACAGACGGTAGCCACACTCGCGGTAACAACAAAGTACCCTTGTGCATGCCCTTTGTTTCCGATAAATTCAGTGCAGCAATAAAACAATGCCTAGCGCGAGCACAACTGCAAAATGATGCTATACTTGTGAACATTCCGAACGTGAACATCAAAAAGCAGTTGGTAAGGAACAGACTCTACGACGCAGAATGTCTGTCAAAGCACTGTATTGTCTATCCATATGGAAAACCAGGCGATTGCGCAAAGGCAGGAGTAGTATATGAATTAGAATGCTTGAAGTGTAAGGCGACATATGTAGGAGAAACGGGTAGATTACTGAACGTTAGACTTGAGGAACAACTGGCGGCTAAAAGACGAGCAAATGCGTTATCACCGTTAGGAAGACATAGGATTGAGACGCACAATGGCGATAAATTTGACGTTAAATGCACTATCTTGTCATACGAGGCAGAGATTACAGTAAAAAAGACCGTCGAGGCAGCGTGGATTTCTCTCAGAAATCCTAGCATGAATAACAGGAATGAATGCGTGTCGATAACAACCGAACTCTTGCCTATCTTAACGATCTGTGAGCGATAGCCCTGCACCTATGTAAGTGTCGATCGCTGAGCAAGACTCAGTGTAGTCTGTCTCTTCGGTGCGGCTAAGTATGACTCTGACTCTCACTAACACTACGGTGGATAAAGGTTCGTTTCTGATCAACATGTCTCAGTACGCTGAGTGCGGGACGAGGTCTAGACTCGGCAGTGCGGAGAGGCGTTTGGCGGTCTGGTTTCGCAGATATAACGCTGCAATCTACTTTCAGGCCTCCGACGAAGACGAAATTGTCGAAACGTAAGGCCAATAAAGAATTCCACCGTACAAACCTGGCACTGGCACAATATCATATAACAATTATGCCACTTTGGGTCATCTAACATAAACCTATCGTAACCTCGTCAGACGTCACGGCAGCATAAAATAAATAGATAAGTGATTAGCGCAATAAATAACCCTACCGGCCTAAGATTTGGTCAATTTCGTGATAACAGCGTTCCACGACCCCCATCTTGCTGAATACGAGCAAAAAGCATTCCAGAGGAGTTTTTGGTTGCCCCTCTTTTTTTGTGCACTATTTCTCTTTCTTTGACCAAACACAGAGTTATCTCTAAGTTCCACAATAGACTGAAACTCTCACTAAACTCAAGGCTATCGCAGAGCCCAGCTGCGCGTTTGGTGGCGCGCTTGTGTAGAAGGATTTGGACAGTCTATACTTACTAGGGGTAAATTACCGGTTATCGAGTATTCTGCCATACCATCGCTTTCCTGATTTGGCCTGCTCAAGCACCTGTTGCGGGTGTCAAAAAGGTGTCCGACCCTTGAAATTAGCCGTTCTGCGGTGAACTAAGTGAAGAGTTGTGAATTTTTTACTAACAGGGGAAGAATATTTCGTCGTAGTAGGCCTTCAGATGGGATGTATACGATATTGAAGAGAATAAAACTCCGATCCCAAATCTGCCTTCCTTATCTGCGGTACATTTGTGGACGAGGATTTATGAACGTTTATTAAACCAAAAAATTGATGGTGCATTTAGGATCAGAATAATTATAAAATCCTTCTAGCTCTAAATAAAGCAACCAAGTGCAATATATTATCTTACAAGGGAAGGATACTCGATCGCAGTGACGACTGGGTAAGCGGTGTATACCGTCCCCAGACGGTGATCTCTAAACCGCACTCCATATCTGCTATGACGTCATTCTTGAAGAGCTATGAAGGATTTTGCAAAAACGCAAAACACGCGGCATCCGAGGGGAACCCACGATACCCAGCTCAGCAGTCCAAGCCACTATCCACTGCACCAGTTGACCACTGGACCGGTGCAGGCAATGGTCTGGTACTTAAATGCACCTGCATTACAGCTCTCCCAGAATGACGTCATAGCAGGTATGGAGTGCGGTTTAGAGATCACCGTCTAGGGACGGTATACGCGGTATACAGCGCTTACTCAATCGTCACTGCGACCGAGTATCCTTCCCTTGTTAGATTTTTTCATCTCAAAGTATAATATTTGTTACTATGTGCTCTGATAATTGTCACTGCTCCATGAAAGCGCTAGAAAAGATATTACGACTACTTCTGTCCTACTTGTAGGTTCAAATTTTTTTCAGTTAATGCTCGTAGTTCCCCTTACATGAACGTCCCGCAGAAATAAGGCAGATATAGTAACATCCCATGTGAAAAAGCCACTTGCCTAAACACGCTTCTCTGGGAAGGATTTGATGATGTTGCGATTAATAAACAATGCAGAGAAAGTAAGTACAATTATCTTATTAATATCAATTTTTTATATAGACAAATCCCAATATAGGTACATTGTTTCTGTTACTTTTAAATTTTTATTTTGAGAGATATTTGGGGACTAAATGATTACGTACTTCCCAGAGACCCAAATGGCACGTCTTCACGTGATGTGTGGGCCCCAGCACGGAAATTTCCAATGGTCCTGTCCTCGTTTCAGACATCCACAATCTTTTTGGTTGTCGTCAGTGGCTGCTTTCGCGACTTCCAGGTGCAAAAATCTATTCGCCAATTTCTCAGCTGATCCATCCGTTTCACGAGCACATCTGACCATTTCGTTGGTGATCTTCCCGGGGCGTTTAGCTTCGCAAAAAATCCACGGTGATGTTCTCAGTGTCCCTCTGCCATCTGTCACTCTCATGGCCCATCGATGTTTCGCTTTTGCAACTATCCCGCTGGGTAAGATAGGACATTCTTCTTATATCCGTACTGCGAAGTCCGACAAATGTTGCTTGTGCATCGAGCTTGATGCTGTACTTTACCCACCCTGTAATTCTTATTTTATTTCAGCCACGTCTGTGATTCGTTAATGACGAGAAGGTTCAGGTACCAGATCGACTGGCCAACTTGGACTGACATGCTAGATCGAAAACCAAAGCTTTTTTCTTACTGTAGGACTAATGGTAAAGACCTATGAGAGGTTTGTGACAGCTGAATTCGCATTGAAGAAGTCCCGAAAATCTAGAAAGTGTGTTACTAGCGAATTATGGTCGTCAGTTCCAAAAACCAAGTTGTACGGAAAGTTTCGCTAATAAATGTTGAGTCAATTGGTTTTGTTGTAAAATTTTTGATAGTAATTGCTAATTATGTACCAAAATGAATGTTCGTTTGTCTGTATGCCTGTGTATCTACGAATGTTTGTATGCATACTCAGAGAAATTCCTGACCGATCTGGACAACTTTGCACACATACACTGCGGAGCGGGTGGGTGTCATAGGCTACTTTACTTTATCGATCAAATCGATTTTATTGATTTTTTCGCAGACTTTGTGTTACGAGAACTGGCAGCTGGCACAGGATGGGGGGGGGGAGTAAGGGATGCTGCGAAAAGCATAGCAGTGGCTGGAAACTAGCATACGGAAGTACAATAAAAACAGCGAAACCTTGCATGGCAAGAGGGAGCGATGAATTCTATGCATTTTTGGGACACTCTGTACATCTTATTCTGACGCACAACTCAAGCACGGTATAGACCGTACTCATTCGCTAGGCTAACGCACGACTAAATCAAAATTCAAATTTATACATGTCACAGTACTAGTAATTGCCTCAAGTCTCATTCAGCTAAAGCCCCCGACCGTTCTTTTACAAACATGTTTGTTGTAAGTTCCACTCTGTTTGCCTCTACCTTTAACATAGAAGGCGTCCGTTAAAATTTCGTTTGAATTTTTCGTTTACCTACAGTCGATGTCAATTACGTGCTCCCTTCCGCATGGGAACTACGCATGCGCTACGCAAGGGTCCTGCATGCGGAGCTCTAATCGATAAGGCCCACTTGAATGCCCGAGTCATACGCGCGCGAAATAGCGCGCAGCTCATTGCATTTACGGGAAAGGGAGCACGTGATTGACACAGACTGTAGGCTTGTCCTCTCCAATGAAATGCAGCTTGGAGACAACAAAATTATCGAGAACGAGCTATTCCAGAAGCCCATTGAATGCTCGTCGCGTTGAGCGGCAAGTCGTGGGACCCTAAGTCTTGACTGCGCGCGATATGCGCACTCCGACTTGTAGTTTGAAATCTATTGAGAAAGGGGAGGGGATACTTGGCCTGCCAAAGAATGCGTCCAAGTCATAGCAAGCGGCTTTTGTTACTGAAGCAAGGTACACGGCCACTTGGACGAAAGCCTTATAAGAATGGGCGCCTTGCAACCTGCCTTTTCCTCGTTGTCGTCATACCTGACCGGACCTTAGAACTCAACTAAAATTCCATAACTATTTTTTTACGTTTTCGAAGTTTTCCCGTCAAATGCTGGTGGAGGACCAGCAAAAAAGCTACGCATCCGATATAGTTCTAAAGTTCGGGAGTGTTGCGTTTGAACACAATAATTTAGATTCTTATTTTGATTCCTAGTATAGGTCGTACTAGCGCTTAGGCCTTTCCCACGTTTAGTTCACATGCAGTAAGGACGCATGAATCTACATCTTGGCCAGATAGTCCAACGAAAAGTGATTCAAACTTGCGCCTAGACAGATAGGTGCCACACAATAATGTTAGCGTGCGTGGTGAGCCCCACAAATTTTTTTGAATGGCACGCACCACCTCTCTAACTTCGATTTACGATATCACCTTAATAGATCTTTTGGTACCTCAAGCGTTGTTCGAAAGAAACATCAAACGACGAGAAGGAGACTTTGGTTATGGATTAGCTAACCGACAGAACACCATATCACTATGTCTCTTGCTTATAGATAACTGATCTGAGGAATGGACGCACAACAATTTTCACTGGATTCCCGGTTTGAAAACAGAGGCTAAGCACGAGAATTGTTGTCTTAATAGCGTTGCACTATAACATTAAGCACCTGTATGTCCTCAAGCAATAAACTCTTTGAACAAACAATTATGCGAAGACAGCGAACAACAAGTTTGTTACAACTTTCTGAGAACGTCTGAGATGATAGTATAAATAGAGAAACTACACCGTGTTGATTCTGATCATTCGCGTGATGGAACCATGCTAGTCTTCCTCTTTGTTGTTCCTGCAGTGTTTGCTGTATGTTTAAAGTCGTGAAACGCACAGATTGTCTACCATTTACGTTTTTTAGGCATATAGAAGACGCAAATTATCAGCACTCGTGAGATGGAAAATCTCTATGATAATCAAGAAAAAGTCGTAGACTGTGAATTGACTCCGTCTTTGTCTGACGAGGATACATTTTTGACTGCGGCGGTCATGACCTTATCAAACATGGTTAGAATTAGTTTTTGAATGTAATCAAATCTCTGTGTAATTCATGATCCTTTCTTTACACAGGACCTCTGCTGCGAATGCGCAGAAAGGGCAACACTATATTACAACGAACGGTTTTATAACCGGACCATCCGCAACTACAAAGAGCTTGACCCAAAATATCAATACTCAGACAATCCATGGGAACTTCCCGAGGTCTGTGAGGGAACTTTCCTCGGGTCACCTGCGGAAGTTCCCGTGAAGCGCTCGGGAAGTTTGCAAAAAAGTCCTCGGGAAGTTCGCAAGAAGTGGGAAATCTCCCGAAAACTACTACTAGTGCTCTACCCTTACTACTAAACTAGTTTGAGTAGCTACTAAGGGTGTGGCTTTATTAAGTAGCAGGATTCATCATCAAGGTTCGGTACAGCTACGCAGAGCCAATCTGAAGCCTCTTATCTACAGAACTTCCTGAGGGCTTCAGATTGGCTCTGCGTAGCTGTACCGAACCTTGATGATGAATCCTGCTACTTAATAAAGCCACACCCTTAGTAGCTACTCAAACTAGTTTAGTAGTAAGGGTAGAGCACTAGTAGTAGTTATACGCAAAAACAGATATGCTCCATCATTTATTGTTATAGCAGTAGATATAACATATCGACGGATGGGAATGGGAGGATTTCTTCAAGTTCTTAAAAGATCGAATTACAATAGTGCCCGAGTAATGCGTAAGGAGTATCATATTGACAGTGAGATATGAAGTAAGCATGTACTGAATATAGAGGTAAGCGGGGAGTAGTAAATGAAGCAGTGATTACTGAGAAAAAATGTAACTAATGAGGCAAAGGCACGATGTTACATGAGAAGACTTATGATGGATCAGAAATTAAGCATCAGAATCAAACAGGACAGCGACAGGATCAAATTCCACTACTGTGTAGCGCTTTCCTCTTCCATTCTGACTTCGTCATACTTGCCTTGTCCACTCTACCAAATCCGACCTGCGCAGCCTTGTATTTCTGGAAAACAAATTTTCAGTATAAAAGCAACTGAGACTAAGGCTGCGTTCATACTGATTCCCTTGTTCTGGAACTGTTCCCGCACAGTTCTCGCACTGTGCGGGAACTGTGCGGGAACTGTGCGGGAACTGTGCGGGAACAGTTCCAGAACAAGGGAATCAGTATGAACGCAGCCTAAGTTTGAACCTTTGAAGGCACAATTTTTCCTTGGTTGAGGCGATAATAACGGACATCCTCGCTGTAAAACTGAATTTAGAGGTAAAAGACGATTCTGGAAAACTTACAGTGCTTCTGCGATACAGGTCCTGATTTGGCCGCAGTAGAAAGTTTTTTGCTCTGTTGGTCTCGTCTATTGTTGGTGAATGCCAGCGCACTGAAAACAATGCACATTGGAAAAAGAGAAAATTTGCTGGTTACAGCTTCAGTAAGAAAAGCAGTGCTAAATCAAAAAAGAGAAAGAAACATTATCATAGAAGTGAGCTGAAGCATAACTATTGTCAAATAAAGGGCAATCACGCTCACCTGAAAGTCGACTTGTGCCCTCAAAGTAGAAGCCTAGAACTATTTGTTCGTCGCGACTATATTCGGTTAATGCCATTGCTCTGAAAAATTCACGCTAGAAAAGAGGAAGGAAGAAATGAAATATACAAAGAATCGTAAGCGCAGTTTAAAAATCATCAAATCGGCGCACGCACATATAGCACCTTCACTAACTGCTTCACTAGCAAGGAGAAAAGATCGAAATTACAAGCACTCAACTAGGAACCAGAGCCTAAATACTACCTCAGATAACACTCCTATTTACACAATTTGAACTGCTAAACTTTCACCGTCTACAACAAATTGACAGACTAGCAATATTGGCAATAGAAGACTAGAAATAGCGCAAGTGCACTGTTACGAAATACAGAAAAGAAAGCAAGGAGAATCAGACGCTGAAAAAGACGCCTGAATTCATGTTTTCCTCTTTATATACAAAACAGCACAAAGTCACATTTAGAAGGATTTCGAAATACGTAAAAGTCGTGAGTAAATGTAAAGTCAAAAGGAGTCATTTACTTATTACATGGTGGATCATAACAGCCGCACTTGCAAAGAGCTGTACAATAGATGGTCGCACATACATTAAGGTAATTCGATAGTCGGATCATCTATTTGCTTGTTTTGGCTCTGGGTCATAGGTTCACACCTCGCACTGCGACAGAGGACGATAATTATGATGTGCAAAGTAACAAGCAAGAAGTCACTTCACCCTTATCGACAAGTGATGCAAATACATTTGAATAATGCCACATGAAAAGAAGAGAAGAAAGTCAATTTACAGAATAAAACGAGAGGACGATAGAAAAGAAACACTACAAGTACCCCACTTGCGCTAAATTAGATATCGCACTGACCATTACATAAGTTTGATGAAGACTCTGTGACTTTTTGCGACACTTCAGTCATTAGAATGAACGTAGCGCTATTACGAAACACCGCGAAGCTCTCGGAAAATTCCCTTTTCTTGAAAGCTTTCGGAAAGTTTCGCATTTATAGATACTTCCCGAGGAAATCCTCGGGAAGTTCCTAACTGCGTTGCTCCTGACGTCAAAGTTTTCGGGAAACTCCCATTTTTGCGCTTCCATTCACCTCTGTGTTAAATGAGTTCTTCGGGAAGTTTGCCAAAATGGCTTGTTTTCGGGAAGCTCCCGTGAATTGTCTGAGTATGTGGTTCTTAGGTCTGTCTCAATAATCAACTTAACATTCTGACATTACTTGAAAACTGCATATTTTTAGTGCATATAATGCCAGCGAGGTCGTAACAGCAATCCGCAATAAGCTCAAGTTTTTCAAGATATTTTGTTGTGCATCGAATGAGTTTTTATCGAAGAATAGATCTGGGTTGGCACATTTGCTGGAGTTCAAAATTTCATAGACAGCAAGGCTATTCCGTTGCGTTCGTCACAGTACTTGGTTTTTGAGCAATTCCCATGTAGTAGTAACATTTTCAGTCACCCCAGAAGCCTGAGAATCTCACTGGAGTTAAAGTTGGATGCGCGTTCACATACTACGTTGAGGACGAGCTCAAAACATATATTCCTCCCTACTACCTTTACAACCTCGAGGTCGTGTGCGTAGTCGAGGGGTTGCCGATGGTCAGTTTCTCAAAATACTAGTTACTGTACTTCTTTCTAGTTTCAACATTGGTTTTGTCTTAACGCTTGACTTGAACTTTTTGTTGCGCTGAGATCTGAGCCATTACCAAACGTTATCATAATTCACACAGCTATTAGAAATACTGTAAGTTTGAAACTAGCCGTAAACGACCATTTCCTGTAGTTCACAATCATTAGAGAACATACGAGTATGGCATTTGTATGCGCTATGAATACAAATCAAATTGTCAGTTTTAGAAATCTTATTACAGCAACCCGCAGAAACGCCAGGACCACCAGTACCGACAGAACCATCAGTACCATCTGAACCACATGGACCACCCGGCCCACCAGGACCACCAGGCCCACCAATATCACCGGGACCACAAGGGCCACTAGGACCACCAGGTCCACCAGGCCCATCAGGAACCACCGGGACCGCCAGGACCTTCGGGACCATCAGATCCATCAGGACCATCACCAGTAACAGAGATACCAGCAACCACTAAGCTAGCAACGCCAAAAAAACCCAAAAGCAAGAAAAGGAAGAAGAGGAAGAAGCCAAGGAAGAGCAAAAGACATGGCAAAAACAAGCAAGGTAATATAGCAAAAAAAGAAGAGAGAAGGACAGAACTAAGGTGAGTCTGCTATGCAGTATAAAGTGATTATGCTGGTAGAACCTCTTTAGGCTGATATTTGGAGAGAATAATACAAGAAAGTGATGGCTAGGGCGCATTCTCAAGGTAATCACACAAAGCTATTATTGTTTGTGAAAGGACTGCAGAGAATGGAACATCTAGATTTTTCCTCTAAATTTGCAAAAAATCACGCTGAGAGAATTGACTGAAACTGAATGTACAGTGTACAAATTATAGACATAGATACTATCAATAGTTTCATTTTCATGTCCTTTTTTCACATGGCCATAGTGATCAATGTCAAGTGATTTGGACTGCCCAAAACATCTTTTCCGCATAAGTGTCAGAAAATTCTCGCACTTTTGTCTATGGAAAATTTACAAGCTGAAAGCGCAATTGTCCATGCGTTCCGCCGCGTAGCCAACACTTGTATATCAGTTAAGAAAATTGCTCATCTAAAATGAAAATGACACTTAGAAGATTAAGAACTTGTATTTTATAAGGCTTACCGTATGGAAATGCCGTTTACTGATATAAGAACTTGCAAGAGAAGGATACTGGTGACGGTGACCATCAATAATGAGGTTTAAATTGAAAAATGCTGAAACGCTGGCTCGAAAACTGTCTTGAATATTAAATTAGCCCAAAAGTTCGTCCGCACCACTTTCAGTAATTCATAACTTCCTAGCTCTTTAGAGAATGCACAGGTTTAGTTTTGTATGATAAAGGAGACATCAGACATCAGCACCAGAAGTGTCTTGATATTACCATAAATTGCAGAAAGAGAAGCTGGTTGTAGGAAAGAGTACTCAATTTTCGAATTTGAAAAAATGCATAAAAATCGGCGCAGTTGTTCATAGGTTTCAGCTTTCATATTTTGTAACTCGTTTTTTCTAAGCAAAGCTTCTGCAGATTAAGCTGCCCTATTAAAAATATGATTTTCGAGCAAGCAGTACAAAACGACAAAAGTGATTTTTTATAGTTTATAGTAATTGACGTGCGATAGTAGGGTATGAAGTTACTAGCTGCATAAAGATGAAAAGCAGCTATAGTTTCGAATATGCATGTAAAACTAAATTTTTATGGCCAACTTGATACATACAGTGTGGTTTGTTCTTTCGATAATATTAGCAAACAACGGAGTCTGCACAGGCAAACTCAATTTCATCAAAATAAATCTTTTCTAAAGTACGTGCAAATGTTTCACTTATGAAAAGTATTTTTAGTTCTCAAATTACACATAATGGAGTATAGAAGATTCATGCATTGTATTGTAATGGTGCGGTGCGATGTTCGGACAGCAACATTAAAAAGGTATTCTCAAAGTTTGTAATAAAAGTATTAAAACGATGATTATTACATTGACAATTCTGTTCGCTTCGTGAGTACATTACATATAGATACTTTGATATAATTTTTCGCCGAGATCAAAAAATTTAGAACAGAATGATTTACTTAATCACACGGAATTCGTACTGTTTCAGTACGATTTGATTTGAACACGACTCGCAAATACAAGCATCTAACAACTAGGGCAAGGCAAACTAGCATAGAACTGCTACAAGCTAAACCCATCATCGATATATCTAACAGGAATGGTCAGAAGTTGAACTGGCCAAATGCATACCATTAAAGGCAATGTCCTGACTGATTCGCGCCCTGGGCGATATCGCTATAGTGGGATTCCCTTTCCATCCCACTGACCTCCATGCAGTCCGGCTGGTTTATATTGCCCCTGGGCCGAGAAAATAGCTCTTGAACCGGCGCGCGCTCGGACAAATTGGCTTACCGTTCGGCGCGGGACCCCACGACCGCTCTTCCGCATTGTGCATGCTATCCAAAGCAAAAATACAGGTAGCAGGCTCTTCGTGCCAGGGCCTCCCAACTGAAATTTTCGTCCGAGCTGTCTTTTGTAAATTGGTGAACACTCCGAAAAAGATCTTTTCACCCGTTTCAAAGCTCAAATTCGGGGTCTACAGGTAGAAAAGGCTCAAATGCGAAAAGATGGAAATGCAAAATCTGCCGGGACAGTGCCTTTGAGAGCAGCACAAAACGCTGTTTCTAAATCTGCCTTTCTTATGTGCCAAATATTTGTGAAAAGTTATAAGCCATTGAAGGCAATAATTTTGAAAAGAAATCGTGCATGCAAAGTACAATTGACTGTACGCCATCCTCGACTCCGTGCTCGACCAAAACATACAGCTAGGTTATTACATATGGACCACTAAGTGGGCTGAGAAAGCAACATTTCGTCTACGTTTTTTTTCAGTAAAATTGCTCATAACTTCGTCTTCAAAGGCGTTTAGCAGATACTGAAGACAAATTTGAAGTCACCGATTTATGCTGCATTGAATGGTTTGCAGTGTATTTGAATTGGCCGATCCGATTTCTGACCATTCTATAAAACGGTTGCAACAACCTTGCCAATTAAACCACACTAACCACCACCACACAAAAGACACACGTTTATTGCCGAGTACCTCAAACTTGGGTAGTACCCTCACTCTGCTTGAGATATATACATAAACAACAGCAAACAACATGAAAAAGAAACTATGATGATGATAAGTTAAACCAAAATGATGTCTTTGTATCTTGTGTAATTTGGACTACTTATAAGAAACGTACAAAAGGAGAGGTTAGAAAACTTAAGATAGGAATGTTTTCAATGTGCTATCCTACGTACAAGGAATGAGCGATTAGAAAGGCAACACAAGCAATAAGTATAAGTGGTGGAAATTATATGAGTAACAATGCCTACGTATATATAGACGTTAGCTTGCTGGCACCATCAATCCTTCTGCAGCTCCAGTCGTTTTTGCTTGTAGTCCGAAATCTTTTTGTCGAATGGAATGTCGCATCTGGCATTATGGATCCATTCCTTGGCATTCAGCAACTAGCTTTTTCCAATTTAGCAATCGTTCAAAACATTGGTCGATTGCAAAATCCGCGAAACGAACGTCTCAGCTGGTATTGAGGGTTCATCGTGTGCAACTCTCATGCATGTTATTGCTCAATTGCAATCACGATCCGCGAAAATTCTCTTGTAAGCTACCATTAAAGCCCTGCCTTAGCTTTCCAAGTAGAGAACGACAATTTACCGCGTTCCTTAGGCAGTGTTCAAACTGATCTAAAACTTCGGAAACAGTCCAGCACAACGCTCGCACTGAGCGCTGTGCTGGGACTGTTCCCGAACTTCGGGATTAGTATGAACACAGCCTTACCTGTCAGAGACGATGGTCGCATTTCCATCTTACGCGCTCCCCGCTCCCTCTTACTCCCGCCCCCCCCCCTTTATAAACCCAAGACAAACAACTCCGAGAGTTGTTTCATACTGCAGTCGCTGCAGCAACAGCAGTCAATCGATCGATATCTTTTGCCCGCGCCGATTTGACAGCAGTCGCTGCAGCGATTGGGGAAGGGGAACGAAAGCCGCCAGCTTCGGTCGCCTGCGCGGACTGCTGGTCCTGGAACGACATGCAACAACATTACGAAAGGACAGTTAGCCGCGAAAGGCGGCTCAGACTGGCGGCTTTCGTTCCCCTACCCCAGCGACTGCAGTATGAAACAACCCTCGGTTTTGTCAAAACATGAAGAATAACAACGACGTACTCAATGCTCCGTAAGATTGCATGGCGGTTATGTTATCAGATAATCATGAATCAAGAGATCAATGAGAGTCAGCACAAATTTACACGATCCAAATATCTTCTAGTAAAAATGACGTTTTCGTTCTCCAACTTCGAAATTATAACTTTATTCAATAACAACAATGTACAATCGTAAATCTGCAAAATAAGAATTGTTTACTGCATTTATTGACAAGACAAAGAGATCAGCTTCTGTTAACGAGATGAGAGTAACTACACTGGGATTTGCTAGCATTTTTAGAAAGTAATTAAGACTGCAGCCTTTGCTGTGAGATCAATGATCGTGAAGCAAATTTTTCGCGAAGTTTACAAAATTAATTAACTTGAGCGTGATTCCCTATAATATTAACGAATCCAGATCGACGATGTGATAGTACATACATACAAGGGATGAACTGTTGTAACTCTCATAGATCTCGTTCTATATTTGTTAATACAAGACAATAGTCTAGAATGAGAAAGAAAAAAGTAAAGAAAAAAATGGAGAAGGGAAGTTAAACCGTGACTGGACTAGTGTCAAGTAGTGCCCTCTAATGCGTAGAGAGCGATATCCCGCTTAACTTTGTGGATAGTTTAGATTAGCGATGTTAGCCGACGTTGGCTGGCAAGACATTCGTAATGCCAATGATTTTTGATAGAAATCTTCATCCGATGAAAATGGAGCGATTGATGGGCTGAAGCTGAAAAGCGCAACAAATTATTCTGTTAAGAAAGAGAAGATGAAAATTTGTGTTGTTTTACTTTAAGGGATATATTACGTTACAGAGAGTGATGGAGCAGAGAACAGATTTTCAGAAAAAATGAATATAAAAAAATTCTCCATTTGCTGGAACTGTCCCTAATTACGGGTATTTATTGATTGATGCATTGTACTATTTACTATCCATGTAATACTGCTAATTATTAGGTTCGATTAAGGGGGCACATGCAGATGTGTAAATCTAAAGTTGGCTTATCAAACCTTGTACGAGTTTACCGCTTTTAGATTACCTTTTCTTCTCGATTTCAATGAGCGGAAAAATAAATATGTTTATGAATACTACATGTATGTACTGCACGACGACCAATTTGAAGCGTCGTAATAGAATTTTTTCAGCGAAAATCCGATGCTTAGAAGATAAATTTTTGATTTTGGCTCCAAATTCTAGATTCAATGGATCTCTTGTGGTTTTTTTTTGCAGAATCTGCTTCTATCGGTGTTCTAAGTATGCTAAGCAATTTGAATTTCAAAAAAATTTACTTTTGGGAGACCCAATATTTCTTTCATGATCTTCGAAAAGGATTGAAAATCTGCTGTTTAAAACTAACTTCGTTATCGGATTTGTGAAAGAATTTGTAGAGTACGGCGGTGTGGCTGTCGGATAGGGCATTTGTCGTGGATATGATGGATACCTGAAGATGAGAAGTTCGCAATAATAGATTTATTTCGAAAATATAAATGGATTCTTTTTTGGAAAAAAAAAACAGAAAATCAAATTCAAGTTTGAACGTTTCTATTAGACTTCTAATTGTTTGTCGCTGGTTTATAACAATAATCAATGGATTACCAAAAGCTATCGCGTGGATTCCCAAGTGGGGACGGGTACATTCCCTGACGCATAATATTGCTAGCTGGATTTGCTGCGAATATTGCTTGATGAGGATTGAGTGTCTGAGAAAAGAAATCTATTTCATCATAATTTCAAAAATTCAATACTTTCTTTGGCGAGAAGAACTGTACCTTATTTAGTTGCTTTTCTTGTTTTCGATGTTTTGCTCGCCGATTTTGGAACCATACCTGGAAGAAAACAATTCTATAATGGCAAAAATAAATGTATTAGGTTAGATGAATTTTAGGAGGAGCAGAAAGCTTTCACTCTCTTATACGATCAATGAAAATCAACTACGGTAGATACACTTGCGTCATTTGTAACCAAGATGTGCATTTGCACACCGCACGCGTTATCCCCCAAAACTTCTTGTTTGTGATGTGCAGTACACAAAATTAGAAATTGAAATCTATCGACGGTGCAAATTGTCGTGAACTGGATATTTCAGAACATGAACTAATCAGAGATTTAGGACGAGTTCCCTCTTGAATGAGCAATCCCTTTCGCCAAAAGCTGCCTCAATTTGCTTTATCTGAAGGTTCTTATCCAGCGATTCATCAAAAGATTACGGTAGCCTTTTCAAAAGCAGTTATGTTCGAACCTTCCCTTGCACCACTTTCTCCCCTTTCCTATTAAAATCCCTCCGCAGCCCCCCCCCCCCCCACCTCCTAGCAAAATGCTTCCCAAGCTATTTCTATTTTCCATCCCGACACTAGGCGTTTCTCGAAGAAAGTGGTATGCCGTAGGGCGGGTGCCAATAATTCAATTGCACGGCGTATGAGAGGAGAGAAGGATTGATTAGGGAACCGACGACGTTGTCGGCGCTCGACAACGTCCGGGTTACGGTAGCTGGCCCCGGCACTGACGAGTTGCGCTTTAGCTGGCACAGACACACAACTCGCTGTGCCACCGCTCTACACAACAGATGCCGAACGAGATGGTCACGATGTACTAACGAACCAGGAGTAAATACGGTAGAAGGATTTCGATGCATCCTCTTGCTAATCATAAACGGACTAAAATGGGTGCCGCTCAGAACTATTACCGATTTAAAAGAAGTTATGAGTTGTTTTAAGGGAAAACCTTTTTATATAAAAAAATTCTCACTGAGGGGTTAGTCAAGTAGTTTTCACCTGATTTTTTGAGAAGTAAAAACCTAAAAATCTATTTGCGTACCATGCTCATACATACCTAAACATTCTTTTGATAAAAGGTTCCCTCCCCAACGACAGGACCTTAGGTGACTGATAAATATTTTCTTTGTTGCTTCTACGTCATACTCTTTGTCAGTACGGTACTCTTTTTGAAGTGAGGAGTTTTGAGCGTAATAAATGATTGACTAAACAGATGGAAGGAAGAAAAAATGAGAATCTTATCTCTTTCCGCCTTTTCCCTCTCCCCCCCCCCTAATGTACGGTCCACTGATACAGCAGTACCATAAGATAGTCTTGCACTCCTCCAGAGAACTCATAAGCTAGGGCAAATTGTGCCAACCTGTTGGCTTATTTGAAATGGTGAGTGATTGAGAAAAAAAGAATTTACAGTACCTCACTGCAACTTCAAAAAGGATAAGCATTGTAAATGTGTTGACTGCCCAAGGAAGTCGAAAAATAACTTAAAAATTTTTTCACTTTAATTGATCAAGGATTTTCCTGTAATGTAGTCCAAAATTAAAATTTGGGGAAGAGGGGGGAGGTAGGGAGGAAGAGAGGAAGTCCTTGCAAGCAGAAGATTATGAGGCCGTATGTGAGGAGGTGTTTGGCCTCTAGAAAGCAGTTATAGTAATGCTGAAACCCCCGGTTTGTTTCTATAAACCGTCGAAGTATCATTAGTACTGGCTTTTAGAATCACCTGCATTCATAAGCTTTCATCGAGCTGTCAAAGATCTTAGAGTGCACCAAAATGCTTTGCATACGATGTCAAGAAATTTGGAAAATAAAGAAAGTTCCTCTGAGTTTGATTCAATCACCGCAGATAAGATTGAAAGCCCTCATAATACAGAAAATGATAGCTACACTATCTTTGACTTCAGCCGACCATCAGTGGACAAATCACTGGTGATTCTGACTTCAGCGCGAATTTATTAAGTAAAAGTATGATTTTTGTAGCCTATAAGTGCGATAGACGTTTTGGGCATATACGTCTATGATTAGGAGATCTTTGAGATGAGGAGATTGTAAACACCTGTATAATAATTCTAGAGTAAGCTTGGAAATTCTAGGCTGAAGTATGTGGCAGTAGATGGTTGTGTGTTGAGCGACGACGACGCAAAATTGCATGAGCGTACAAAGCGGCCCAGGCTGGCTGCGAGAAGCAGCGCGACGAAACCCAATATATTAAATGCAATTTCGTTTATTGCATAAATTATTCTCTCTCGGATTTGATTCCGTGCGAGCGTGGGAAAGCTTTAGAAGCGTGGGAAAATCGCCGGGGGAATCCAAATTTTTTGGCGGTTTTTTGCTATGTCCCTGCGTTTTCGCGCATAATTTCCGGATTTGCTGTGGATGGTTCGATGAAAATTCTTCTATCCAGATGCCGCAGTCAGTAGGAGGCTGCATGGCTGGACAGAAGACATCAGCACAGACACCGGCAATTAGTCGTCGTGGTCAACACAAAATTAGCGCACATGGCGACCCTCGATGAACTCTTGTATAATCCGTAATTGCCCCTGCCTCCTCCGTGGTCCCGAACAGCCTCTTGTGTCCAGATACTAAAGCCCCTAACCAACAACTCAATAATTGTAGGTCCTGTGAAGATTGTTAGTTGCCTCCTAACAACAAAGCCAACTTGATCACTAGCAGGTGTCAAGAAAATGGATTATCTGCGGGTGATGTAACAATGCGGTCAGGCGTGAAGTCTTAGATATTCTGGGTAACCTAACCTAGCCAGTAATGGTAAGGTTGTCATACCTGTATCCTAGCCTCGTTTAGCTTAGTGATTCGTGCAAGTTCCTCGCGAACATAGATATCTGGGTAGTGGCTTTTCTGAAACAAATAAATTTACTCTAGAATTTCAATGAAAAAGATGAGTCTAAGATTCGAAGACTCGCCTGAAAAGCTGAGTCCAATTCAGCTAACTGTTCCTGAGTGAAAGTAGTGCGATGACGCCTTCTAAATGAGGAATTCAAATTGATTTTTATTTCGCAAATTAAACAGCTTGATCTACCAATCAGCTGAATTTTTGATCTCAAAAAATGAAGAGATTTGTAGATTAACGGGAGCCAAAATGCAATTCCCAGTAAGATTTTCGTTCATATACCTAGCGATCAAAATAGCTGTAGACTCACTTTTTGGATTTCTGCCAATTTTTAAAAGCTTATCACTAAATTCTGACTCTATCACATTTTTATATATGTAAGAGCCCATTATGAACCTTCATTTTTTGCCCATTAACCTAGAAGAGGATAAATTTGACCTACCGTGCTGGAGTTGATGGTATACCCGATAGAGATGACGTGAACACTCCGCTTGTAGTCACACTTTCAGCTTTGATCTTCTTGAAGGCGCCTTCTAAAACTAAAAATTTCAAAATCCCGGTTTTTTCTTCCCCGATCTTTTTTCCCTCAAAAATCCATAGAAACCAAAATTTTCGATGAATTTTCCCCGCCAGCATGCAACAATCGGGTACTGATGGCAGATGGGCACAGACAAGTGGATAAGCAGCGGATTAAAGGGCGACGAAAGCTGGTCCTAATGGCCACTACTGACGATTACTGTAAGTGGACATCGAGAGGATTCTAAGGTCAATTTGAGATAACAAAACTGACATCAGGCACTTGAGAAGTCAAGCTTATGTGGAGATCTAAGCTAGAAAAATAGCTTTGGAAAAGGAAGAAATTTGTTTGAAACTATCTCAGTTTTCATTTTTCATTTTCCATCACGATTCCAATTTTCTTTTCTTTCTAGGCAAAAAAGAGGAGTTTCAACAAATTTGAAAGAAATGTGTAGCTAGAACGATAAAATTTTGAATAATTATCATACATCCCATCAACAATTATATGGATAACCTATGTTTCCTATTATAATTCATTGGTGGGTAAATGCATTCTTTCCTTCACTCCTTCCCCGTTTTTTAGGCAGTTTTTGCATTAAAATTTGAAATTTTAGACAATTTAAAAATTTTATTTCACTTTCGTTTTATTCATTAATATACTTACAGTGCACCGAAAAAGAAAAAAGAACTTTAGTTGAGGAAAATTTAGAGAAAATTGAGTTCTAATCAAAAAATTTGGAACATCATCACGAAATTTGACAAGACTCCCCCCCCCCCTCTCCTCCCTCCCCCCACTAAAATGAAAATGAACCCGGATGTTTAGGTGTTTCGCTTACAAAACCGGTTTTGCAGATGGGACGTTTTCGATGTGGGAAGCATAAGAGGATTAAGGATAAGAACAAGGCCGACATCGATTTGGAAAAGAATTTTTGAAATTCAAAACACTGCGATTTTTGAGACTCAAAATTTCAACAATAATTTTGTTCGTCTAATCGTCTTAGGATCTACTGGGCGGTCCAAGTCAAAGGTAAGTTCTCGAGATTCTTTTTCTTAGAAGTTGTATGTATTTCTACAAAAAAATGAAAATATTCTTCCAAACAGCATTTTTCCACTCTTGGTCATGATTACACAACTTTCCTGTGAATACAGTACCCCTTAGCCGTATATGTTATGCCTTATGACAAATGCTTCGCGCTTATTACAATATGTCCGTAAAGCGCACTCTCACATGTCTTTCGACATCAACGTCAATACTACCGTAATCCGTTTATTGTGCCAGCCAGGTGAAGCAATTGAAATAGGTCGGACGACGACGAGACTAGCGCCGTCACTGTGTCGAGTTGTTAACAACATGGAGTTGGGTTACGGTATTGGGTACGGTAAGTCAGAATATACCTATCAAGTAAATTGTGCGAAAAGCATGATGTTTGATTGAGAAAATGAAGGAATGATGAAAACAATATGATTTGTGATTCGTTCTGTTCAGAACTCAGTGTGCAGATCGCCCTATTAGAGGAGAATTTTCAGCTCATCAAAAAAGCAGACCACTTATTTCAACTAATGAGGCCTGAAAACGTTTAGATTGCATGTATCGAGGATGGCATCATATCAAAATTATATAAATTGAAAAATGACGTCATAGGCGACTGAAATGCGAATTAATCAGTGACAAAATGATTATTTTGTCATATTTAGACATATGGTATTCTTCCATATTTGGTTAAATAAGAGCATGTAGGTTCACTTCGTCGTACCCGAAGCTTGTGAATTTCCGAATGCTCTATCTTACGAAATTGTCTTAGAAAAGTAGTTGAATATTATTCAGTTTGAACGTCAGAAATGAATCAGAACTTCTCGTCTTTTCACTTTTTAAGGCAAAAGTTTTCATAGATTTTGATCGCATTAAAGGTCTGATTGTGAACTTTTTTCCGTTCCCTCGTTAGTATTGCTGTGATAGCTATATGATCTGAATGACTACAAACGATCAACTTGATTTGTAACAAAGTTTGTTTTCTATTATTTGTGGTCCAACATCCTTGATTAGCTAGCAGCAGAGTTTTTCTGCAGGGCAATTTTCTTCATTTTTATCGTCATTTTGTGAAAAGATTCCAAATGCTACGAACTGGCCCACAAGACCTTTTCGAAAAGGTGCATCATCACTAGCTAGGCTCGAGATAATGGTAAGTTTACGGTTTTTAAAACGATCCGCTTATAAACATATCGTTAATATGACACTTTATCACCTAACTCCTCCTCCGGATTTCTTGGATGAAATCACCAAAACGATCAGCTAAGGCAAAACTCCATTTTACTAAGTTTCTTACCTTTGCGAAAAATCAAGAATTCATCAATTTTGGGGAAAGACTTGCTCATTTATTAGGAAAAGACATTTGCTAACCCTAAAATTAGGTGATGAAAGGATATCATCAATATCTGGATACTAGCTATAGCGAGCAAGGCTGGTTCTGAGTAACTGCTCACTGAGTTGATTCTAGTGAATCTCATTTGAATAATTTATCGAATATTCGCCTCACGTAAACACGATCTGCACCAGGGCATCGGGTAATGTCTTTAGTCGCAAACGTTACAATCGAATTACTTAAAATTTGTTTTGCTTAATTGTTACTCAATTAAGAGAGGGAGGATTTGCAGGTTCAATTGGATAGGTTGAAAGTTGAACACTGGATGGTTGCTTGACGGAAAGGTGAAAGGTAAAGTAGGTAGTGGGTAAGGGCTAACGGTTTATCATATAAGTCAAGGAAATTAGTGCTGAACTACGTAAGATTTTCTTGAGCAAAGCTTAAGTATTGGTTACCCTAAGTTAACCTAAGTTAATTATTCAGCTCAATTTTACCCAAGGTAGTTGGAAAGTGGATAAATAGGTAACTTAAATAGATTGTAAGGGTAGTTTAGAGACTCATACCTTGGCGTTAAAGCAATTTTCGCTGAGATGTGTCATTGTAAAAAAATTTTGAGCCCAGACCATTTACACATTTTTAATACCCAAAGATGTTTTTAATTTTACCCCAGGTAATTAGACACTAACCTGAACTTGACGTATCACCCAATGGACGTAAACTTGCGGACACGGTGTCGAGCGGTGATCCATAATAAGCAGTAAAGTCGTGCAATGCCGCACCCAGATCTTTTCCCTTGCCATCCTGGAAGGAAAACCCACACAATCACATTTCCATAATGAGTTTATGAGAGAAGAAATATTGGAGAAAAGTTAATTATTGGAGTGGGGAGACGCGGGCCAAATCGTATTTCGGCGCTCGAAAAGGAGTCTGTAGACGCGATTCGCGCACGAGCTGTGGTTCCTGCGGGTTTTTTGGGGGGCCCTTAGGTTTGTTCAGGGTTATAATGGGATTACCAAGGTTAGATTAACCTTACCTGTGATAGTGTTGAAGAGCTGGAGCTTAGACCGTCGCTCATTGCGCTAGCACGACTTGAGAATGCACGTCGCGCAACCGCGCCCAGATGTCAGGTTACGGTAGCGGTGGCTGCCCACTCTGCCGCACTCCGCCGCCGCCACGCTCACTCTCCCGCCACGCCCCTCCGGCGACGATTGGCGGACGAGTTGATTGGAACGGCCTGATTTGATTACCGAAGTCGATAGGCTGTGTGCAGGCTAGACTAGCTGCGCCGCTTAATCGTCGACGACGACGACTAGATCGGATTTTCAGCCGCTCTCTCGACGAGAGGGGCTGTGTGTGTGTTCGCGAATATCGTTATGATAATGTGACTGAGAACGCTCAGTGGCTGGGATCAGATTATACAGACACACACACACACATACACTCCCTCACACACACACTCAACACCTCGGTCCTGCTGTGAGCACGTCCGTCCGTCCATGGCTGGTCCTTCTCCCGTAAGCACCGCGTGCTTTTCTACTGATCAGGCCTCAATTACTTCTTAAGATCGTAGGTCAAGGTAGAATAAAACATTTTTTCGGCTAAATGGTTAGGCCAGCTTTTAAGGCAATAATGGACACTCATAAAGAAATTGCCTTCTTACTTGTCTGCTCTTATCTACTTTGCGTAAGTTCAGAATTAATTTTTTTTAAATTCTCTGAAAAGGCTTAAGTATCTGTATCTGTAGCTGTATCTGTAGTTCGTGTCAGAAAACCTTATGACCTTATCGACTGATACAGTATATCATACAGTAACTGGACGGGAGGCAGCCAATATGAACAATAGCTTGTGCCGGAGATATGTGCGTTGCGTAGGTCAAATTTCTCTTGAATTCTATAGGCTATAATGCTATCAAAAAAAAACTGAAAGAGAGCTAGGAGGAGCTCTATAAGCCTTAACTTCTGATTTCTCGACACCATTTTTAATCCAGCAAAACATATATCGCTCTACAAGAGACGATTATATCTGTGTCAAATTGGCAACCGTAAGAGTACCACAGGCTTATTTGCCGCTACTGGCACCCTGAAATAAAACTAGGAGCTTAATTGACATCCCTCCCTATTTCCCCTTTTTTGAAGTTTACATCATCTTCCTTCTTTCAACTGCAATGATGTGGTCACGCATTGCAGATGATTACGGTAGTTATAGCTCCATTTTAGTACAATATAGTGGTCGAAGCTCTAAAAGAGGCTGGATGATTTCTGTACTAGGACTGTAAAGTTACTGTAACCTTCTCATATCACTAGAACTTTCTAGTTCGCGACATTCAAATATTTACATCTGAACGGCCGAAACTGCTTGACCGTAACATTTTTAGATATAATCAAGCCTCATCCCACCATTTGCATACAGGCTTTCAAACTCCATAAATTCCAACTTTTAGGGAATTTCTGCGAAGCCACTTTCAGTTTTTTCCAGCTTTTCACATTCTTGGAAGTAATGGCTGTTCTTCACTTAACTTATATATTGAATGCTAAATTCTTTGCTAATTTTTGTAACAACTGAAATATAATGGCTCCATCTACAAATCTGAAAAAATTTATTATGAATTATCTCGTCTTCTACGAGCACTAAATATTCAGCAAACACTCGCATTCATGGCAACCATCTTGTCTCAGTTGCTCTCAATCATACATTTTTTACTCGTAACCTTGTTAGGCACAAAACTCTGCGGTAATCGAACAGTAATTGTTTTCTGCATAGACCTCAGGAATCTTTAATTCTAACTGGATTACGGTAGTCAATGTGTAGACATGTCTCAACATTTATTGACACCTTAATGCCAGACTAATCAATACAGTAATTTTTTTTATTACCGTATAAGGAATGTGTCTTTCATATCTAGCGGATACCCTTGTCGATCTCGCTTACACTTCTCATCGTTACGCAATCGACGTCGGTGAATGTTTCATGCTCGGCTCCTTATTAGTATGAGGCGCGAGTCAAGAGTGCTCTTCACCGAATATTAATCGCACATGACTCCCTCTTTGCGAACAGCACACGAGCGAATGATACACCACACAGCACAGAAAATGGATATTGTCGTGACATGTGGTCACCCCTGCATCCCTGTGAACTGATACCGCCTATTAACACAGCGTGAATTCGATCAAAACAACGATGCAGGGGTTAATTTACATGAGGATGGGATGGAGCGTAGGAGGATTTGGAAGGAGGACAGGGATACTGTAGATTGCGAACTGTGGGTAAAGGCTACATTGTAACTGCTGGCACGTAAATTTCATATTTTCTTATGGTTCTAATAAAAATATGCGTAGAAATCTTCTTTGTTTCACAAAAAAGCAAGCAGCAGTCTATCGAAACTTCACCGACATAGTCCCGTTATTCTAACAGAAATCGTAAAATGAGGCTCGACCAAGTTAATCTCATACGTAATGATTCAAATTCCTTTTTTTGTATTCAGTCAGTCGTAGGAAATGGATTAAATGCGTATTAGAGCGCATAAGATTACAACGAATTGAACAACAACTTTTTCTTACTGGTATAGATTTTAGGAAGAAACGATATAATGCTTTACTTGATGTTTCTCCTATCAAATCTATCTGCTTCTACCATTGATGGTAAAAACAGCGAACAAAAATTGCTTGACTTCTTCTTTTCTACTATGCACTAAAGTGGATGACCGGCAAGAAACTTTGCGCGAAAATTCATTTACATACATTCCCTCACTAAGCGCTACTGCCACAGGCTAACCGCACAGATTATGTCCAAAATAACTTCAAAACAGTCTAAAATAGTCTAAATTTAAGATAGTTTTCATGAAATGCTTTTTGTAATAGGTTGGCGGATAATTTCTGTTGCATTTGTACTTTTATTCCTTGAAAATCTAAGAAACCTTCGAAAATTCTTATATTTGAGGAATGTTGAGGGAGTGCAAAGGTCGATCCGCCGGTACTGTCAGATCCGCGGTCCGTGCGCAACACACCCTCTTCATCGGAGGAAGTACGTTTTATGGACATTTTGTCTGCCGGCTGGCACTGTTCCAGGTGATCGGGAAGAAATCGGGCGATGTGTTATTCAGGCAGGGTATGGTCCATAGTCTTCAGCAAATGTAGGGGGATGGCACAGTCATATTCGCACACGTTCACATAAACTAATGTTGTGCCGTGTTACTGCACATTCGCATTTAGAATGAAAAACAATTTTTAAAAATTACAAAAACTATTGCCAATCTCTCCGTATCAAATCCTACATGGTGCATGCAAACAGAAATATTTTCGACGAATTTTGGTTTTTTTCCAAATTTGTTTTTCACCCCTTGTTGTTGGCTGCTAGCGGCGCCAAAGTGCTGCCATAAAGAGGCGATGCGAAAATATATTCCAAAAAAATTATGGAAAAAAAGAAACACAATTAAACGCAAAGAACAAGATCAAGGGAAAAATGACAATTTGGGGGTGCTTATAAAGTTGTCTTCAACTTGCTAGCTATTTGTGAATTTGCGGCATCGGTCATACTATTGTGTATGCTCTGCCGTGTCCTACATATGATGCAATTTTGAATATTCTAAAACATTCTAAAATTTTTTAGAATCTTACGAAAGAAGTATGACAGAATTTACCCGCCAACCTAATAGTTTCGGTAGCTCACATTACTGGTCTATTATTCAGAACCTGTCGTTTGTAGAGCATTTTCGTAGCCGTGCTGATAAAATTAAGCTACTCCATCATTGATGCCACATAGTAACTTGATCAATATTAGATTTGCAACCATGCAAAGTGATTTTTTCACCCTCTATTTGAGCTATCTCCGCTAAAAATTTTATTATCATTAGTCATGTAATTGATTACAATAGTCACATTCAGCATGTTGAACTTTGATTGGACAAGCGCCAAAATTCTCACTTTTGAGTAAGATTGTTGCACGGCCTTCGAAAATTCCCGTGCTGTCCAATTTCTCCACAATTTCCTTTGACATGTTGCCTAGTTGAACAAAATTCCTCTGCAAATATAAAAACTTGCTCTTTGTCTCTCTGATATTCTTGTGTAAATTGATATTATATTATTTTTTTCAAATTTACTTAGTCGATATCTTCATCCAGTTTGAACAGAGTGACACATTCATAGCCTGTTTTCAGCTTGCTCCACGTATGATGTGTTTGCTGTATAGATATGAGGTGACGATAACATGCCTGGAACAGTGTGAGGTAAGTATTTTGGGCAGGAAAAGGCCTTTAATGACCTCCCCTCCTCCTCCCCCTCCATCCCTTCAGCGCAACTCGGCTGGAGTGGGCCTAAGTTGAAGGTGCAACGCTTCAGTCCAGCATCCAATGAGCTATCGATGAGCTACCATCGATGAGCTATCATCTGGATTGATTCTAGTATGTTCGCAAAAGACCGTTTATGCAGGTCTGGTGGAATGGCTGAGTAACTGGATCTCAATGCACGGATATGTTTCAAGATCGTCTAGCCTTCTAGTGGTGCAAATCCTGCATCGCCGGGCAGTGTTTGATACCGAACGTTATCGAAAATTGGTGATGACCGCTGTCAAAGGGTTCACCAAGCTGATGGAGGGACAAAGCAAGGTAATGATCATTTAATCTTCTATTATTGAAATTTTGCAGACAACAGAAGCAAGTGGAAAGAAATAATTACCTTAAGAGTCCATCATTATTCTGGCAAAGAGAGGGGAATTCTGAAAAAGGATGAAAAAACACTTCTACTTTTCTAGTCTCGTGGCTGCGATCCTGTCCATCAACTCTTTCCTACTTAGGCCCCGGTATCGCGCAGTTTTGCTCGTTCCTCTGCAGAGAAAGAACGTGAACTTAGGTGTCCCGTAACTACTCACAGGCAACTTAGGCAAAACTTGTTTGATTCTCAGTTCTGACTCTAATTTGCACACTACTTTTGTCATTTTAGCTTACAGCCTATAACTCAGTGGCATTATGCTGAAATGACCATGGCAATTGACCGGAATCTTTGATTATTTGATGTGTCATCTTGAAACACGGGAAGGTGGGCGGCCGTATGTTCAACTCACGACTTTTCAAGGGCCAGCTCA